GGGAGGTTGGAGGGGTTCGCGGCAATTCGCGTCTCCTGGCTGGCGAGCGGGGTCTGTGGCCGTGCGGGGGGACACATGCGGGTCTTTCCATGGGGCGCGACGACAGTCTGACGCTCAGCTGCCTCGGGTCTGGGGCAGCCCTTCCGCATCCCGAGCCTGACGAGCGCATTCGCGCTCGACGTCCCGTCAGCGACATCCTCCATCGCCTTTTCTGCTCCGCTGTTGCACCAGGCGGCGGCGGGCGTGGGCGCAGGGGTTTCCTCTCGTCGACAACTATCGTCTGTGGTTCGGTTGTCTCCGCTTCGACATCTTGTCTCTGCATCCTGCGTCAGCAAGTGGCCACCGCCGTTTGCGCTGAGCCCTTGTCGAACAGTTGCGCCATCGTGTGCGCTTTGCCGTCATCGAAGAACTGCGCCTCCTCGAAGAACTGTGAGCCATCAAAGAGCAGCTCCATTGTGTGCGTTGTGCCCTCTTCAAGGTAAAGTGTTGTTCTGCCTGCCCTCGTGTCAGGCATGTTTGCCGGCCCATGGGAGCGGCCGCGTCGCGCCACCTGTTTCAAATTGCGGGGACGGAGGGAAACGATGTCGGTGACATTGGGCCACATGGTTCCTGTGTCCCCTTCTGATTCCCGCTCGTTTTTTCCTCGCGAGCGGCCCCGTGATTCTTGCTTGCCATCATCATCATCATCATCGCCCCCATCATCACCATCATCGTCGCCACCACCATCATCATCATCATCATCATCATCACCATCATTGTTATCGTGATCATCATCATCTTCATCAACATCATCATCATCATCAACAACATCATCATCAACCTAGTTAACGTCATCAACATTGTCATCATCATCGACATCATCATCAACATCATCAACATCATCAACAACATCATCATCATCAGCGACATCGTCGCCGTCATCAAAATCACCACCATCGTCCTCTTCGTTGTCATCGCCATCATCAACATCGTCATCATCGTCGTCATCATCGTCATCGTCATCATCGTCGTCATCACAATCATCATCATCACGAACATCATCATCGACATCATCATCGTCATCAACATCATCATCATCGTCAGCGGCATCGTCGCCCAGATTAACATCACCACCGTAATCGTCACCATCACCGTGTTCATCATCGTCGTCATCATTATCATCATGTCGTGCCACGTGACGCAAGTGGCTGGGACGGCGGGAACGGATGACGTGGACATCGGGGCACACGGTTTGCGTGTCGCGTTCTGCTTCTCTCTCATTCGTTCCACGCGACCGCCCCCACGATTCTTGTTTGGCATGGCATTAAAGAAAAATTGTCGTCGATCACAAGCTGGACATTGCAAACCACTCCAGCGCGGTCGAGGCAAACACGAAATCGCCTATTCCCAGCGGAACACGAAACCCCTTCGAAACACTTCCCTCGCTCGTTTGCTGTTCTCAACAAAGAGATTAGAGGTTGGTTATTACAAAGGAGACGCATGGGCTTCGCGCGACCGCTGTCGGTACTAAGCGTCGCGCGGTGGCCACGGTGGGAAGGATGTCCGCCGTCCACGTGGCGTGCAGTGAGAGGTAAGGTATTAATAAACAGGAGGGGGTCGTCGTTCCGTCTTCGTGTTCTCGCCGCAACACTTGAGCCTCCCTCCCCGAAGAGACTATGGCGTCAATCCCGGGAGAGTTGTTGTTGTCTCCATCCCGCGCACACAACGTGCACATGATCCACCATAGAGGCCATGGATGTTGAGCGCTCGCTCCTGGCGCTGGTCGTGAGGGATGCGATATCGCATTCCGCACGACAAATGCCAGGACTGTGCGCGCAACATCCGCGGGCTCCAGAACGAAGAATGCACACGTTGCGTGCGCGCGATGGAGAACGCCTGCGCCGCTCGCTGCAATGACGATGGCGTTTCTTCGGTGTGAGCGCCGCATGTTTCGTGACGACAACCTCGACACGAAAACATGGCCTCGTTCAGTAACGAACAATCCGGCCGCCTCCGAGAAACGTCTCAGTCATCGGGGCAAGGGGGGTTGCCATTGTCACCGCAAGCTCGAAACCAACAACAGCCAAACGAAAAACGGCGCGTGGCGTGTGGTTGCCTGGCGAGATGGGAAGTTCGGATCCTGGCGAACTACAACAATCATGCGCAGTGCTCTTGCGAAAGCATCAATCTGTTGCCGTCGCGCGGCCGCAGGGAGAGCACGCGCAGGTGCGAAAATAGCGCATGATTGCCGTAGTTCGTCGAGATTCGAAGTTTCCATTTTTTGGGCGGTTGTTGGTTTCGCGTTCGTAGTCACAATGCCATCCCGGGTTGCCCTGATGACTACGTTTTGCGGGACACAGTTCCCATCTTTCGGGCGTGGGGTTGATAGTTCATAACGCCATGCCAGTTTTCAGCGCGCGACGAAGTTCGGATCCCGACAGACTTGCAATCTGAAGCATGCGAAGTCGCGGGCTGCTCAGATGATTATTGTTGTTTCGACCGCGTCGCTGAAATAAGACGCTTACGGTTTGCATGGATCTTTTCAGAGTCCTGGTTGCATGACTGTTCTTTCGTTGGCGGTGCCGCAAAAAAAAAAAGTCCTATCAACGGGACCCCAGCAAAAACAAAGTGTTTAATGCTCCCAGTCGAACGCGGCAACCGATCTGAAGTTCGGATCCAGGTGGACTTCGTGGTTGGCACCCGTACGTGGTCCCATGAACCTGGCTCTGGAACCTGCCATTGCCCAACTGCGAGCTCGCCTTGTCTACTGTACTAATCGGGGGTCCACCAGCTGTGGTCATTTTTTTTTTGTGCGTGCAGTCATTGTCATCAAGGATGGCAACATTTGCGACTGGATCGCCGTAAGTGCTCGCTTTGTCGATGAGTAGAATCGGGGTCCATGGGGGTCTATTGGGGGTCGCGGTGCGCCAATTTCCGACGTGGTGCACCTACGGCGACCATATCTGTTCTGCGTGCTCTGTTGGAACAAACACTTGTGAGCAGCAGCAGGGCCTCCCTGAACATGCAGCCAAGCCTAGCGTTCCTTCTGTGCAATTCCACACCGATCATCCAAATATCCGTCGTCCCCCGCGCAAACCGGTTCCTGGCCAGTCCAGCAAGCGCCAAGTTCGGATCCCGGCGGACTTTGAGGTCCCGCATAAATTTGACCGCCGTTTTCGACTGCCACGACCGTCGAGTGCGTTCTGATTACCAGAGGCCTCCAAGCACGCAAAAGTGCTCGCATGAGGCCTGGAGCTTCAAGTGTGAGTTGATTGAGCGAGGACTGTGGCTGCGAAAAATTGCTCACCTTCTGAGATGCCCTTCGAGGGGTTTGTGGGGGTTGCCGACGGTGATAGCGGCCGTGTCCCTTGTCTGTGTGCCGTCGATCTTTGTTGCCCCCAGAGGGTTTTGACTGTCCCGGTGCGCGGATTCTTGTCGCACACATGCTCGTGTTTCTGCGTGGTTTCCGGTTCGCGCTTTCGCACGTCAACGTTACCGGCGCGCAAATCGGGGGTCGCCTTGTCGACTGGCCGAAACGGGGTTTGGAAGGTTTGCAGGGGGGGTCTTTCATCAGTTTCTACATTTTTCTTGTCTGCGCGGTTGGGATGTCCGATCTCGATGAACTCTTGCACTAGGGGTCAGTTTGGGGTCGCGCTGCGCCCGATTTTGTGGTGGTGCATCCACCGCTGCCCTTTGCTCTGCGCGTGCTGACGTTCAACGACAAGTCGAGAGCGGAAGAGCCTTCCTTCTGTGCGTCCAAGCATAGCGTTCCTTGTGTGCACCCACTGGCGCTCCGTTCCACTGACACCGGCCGCGCAAAAACAGGTTCCTTGCTACTCCAGCACCGGCCAAATTCGGATCCCGGAGGACTTTGAGGCGCCGCATGAATCTGACCGTTGTTTTCAACGGCTTGGACTTCTCCGTCCGTGTTCAATGCCGGCGGCCTGGTATTGCGCAAAATTGCTCACCTTGTAAGTTGCCCTGAAAGGGGTTTATTGGGGTTGACGACGGTGTCGCTGGCCGGGTCCATTTCCGGTGTGCCGTGGATCTTCGTTCATCGGCGCCCCAAAAAGCGGTGCGCCCAAGCAACGCCTGCTTCTGTGCAAACGCCATCCACCCGTTACAAATGCAGGCGAATCCACCAAGTTCGGATCCTGGCGGACTTTGGGGATCGACGAGAATCTATCCGTCCTTTACGTGGCGCCTGGAGCTTCGAGTGTGAGTTGATTGCGAGAGGACTGTAGGTGCGAGAAATTGCTCGCCCTCTGAAATGCCCTTCAAGGGGTTCATGGGGGTTGCCGAAAATAAGGGACACGGCCGTTGTCACCGCCGGCAACCCACATTAACCCCTTCGAGGGGATTTATGAAGGCGAGCAATTTTTCGCGCCCACGATCTTTGTTGCCCCCCAAGGTTTTTGACCGTCGCGGTGTGCGGAGTCTTGTCGCAGAATCGGGGGTCGCCTTCTCGACTGGCCGAATCAATGTTTGTAAGGGTTGAAGGGGGGATCTTTCATCCTTTTCTACATTTTTGTTGTCTACGCAGTGGGGATGTCCGAGTTCGATAAGCTCTTGCGCTAGTATATGTGAATGGAAAACTGCACGAGATCGCTTAGACGATGGTGAGAATCGAGTTTATGGGGGTCAGTTTGGGGTCGCGCTGCGCCGAATTTCGTGGTAGTGCATCCACCACTACCCTTTGTTCTGCGCCTGCTATCGTTCACCGACAACAGAGCCTTCCTTCTGTTCGCCCAAACATAGCGTTCCTTGTGTGCGCCCACTGGCGCTACCTTCCACTGACACAAGCCACGCGAAAACAGGTTCTGTCCTACTCCTGCACCCGCCAAATTCGGATCCCGGCGAGCTTAGAGGCTCCCCGTAAATTTGACCGTTATTTTCAACAGCTTGGACTGCCCAGTCCGTCTTCAATGCCGGCGGCCTGGTAGTGCGAAAAAGTGCTCGCCTTGTGAGTTGCCCTGAAAGAGGTTTATTGGGGTTGACGACGGTGTCACTGGCCGGGTGCATTTCCGGTGTGCCGTGGATCTTCGTTCATCGCCGCCCCGAAATGCGGTGCGGCTAAGCATCTCCTGCTTTTGTGCAAACGTCATCCACCCGTTCCAATACCTGCAGCCTCGCGAAAACCTGTTACTCGCTGCAGGCAAATCCGCCAAGTTCGGATCCTGGCGGACTTTGAGGATCGGCGCAAATCTATCCGTCCTTCGCATGGCGCCTTGTCAAATGTGAGTTGATTGCGAGAGGACTGCGGGTGCGAGAAATTGCTCGCCCTCTGAAATGCCCTTGAAGGGGTTCATGGGGGTTGCCGAAAGTAAGGGACACGACCGTTGTCACTGTCGGCAACCCCCATAAACCCCTTCAAGGGCATTTCAGAAGGCGAGCAATTTTTCGCACCCACGATCTTTTCTGCCCCCCAAGGGTTTTGACCGT